TTTCCTCGAAACTTCAAGTGTTCAAGCCCCATGTGCTGGTGATAGCAGGAAGTCCAACATGCAGCCCAGCTGCTCTCTACAGGGTTCTCACTGCCTCCTGCTTACACACAGAGGGTTCCCATACAGGCGTCTTGGAAGGAGGTGTCCAGTCCCACGTGGTCCTGTATCAATGCACTGACCATGGTGGAAGGACATGAATAACCGAGCAGAAGCTAATCCTGGTGAGTAATATTCGAGCTGTCAGTCAGGTTCACTACTCCCAAAGCAGACACAGTGGTGGAAGCCAGTGCTCCCCCTAGACCAGAGAAGGGCTCCAAGCCAACCACCCAGGGCCCTTCAATGCAAGCCTTTCCCACAAAGATTTGGGAGGACTGGGCTACACCATTGTTCCCCTTGCCATAACCATTCTTCCCTGGCGATCAACACAAAAGGTGTATTACATCCTTCTCCCAGGACAATGAGTCAATTCACCCTCCCCTGCCATTCCCAGAGATACTACCTTTGGGCACTCCACAGTGACTTCCTGTCCTGGCCTGGCTATGCAGTAGATAAGGGAAGAGACAACACACAAATTCAACCTCCAGCAGGGCGCCTTGCTACTCTCACACTTACCCTCTCCTGACACACTCACATACGTACACATCATTTGACTTAAAAGGGATTATACAATTTATCTTCTTCAATACCATGCTTTTAAAAATAAAAAATAAAAAAAACTTGGGCCGGGCACAGTGGCTCACACCTGTAATCCCAACACTTTGGGAGGCCGAGGCAGGCAGATCATAAGGTCAGGAGATCAAGACCATCCTGGCTAACACGGTGAAACCCCGTCTCTACTAAAAATACAAAAAATTAGCTGGGCATGATGGCGGGCGCCTGTAGTCCCAGCTACTCGGGAGGCTGAGTCAGGAGAATCGCTTGAACCTGGGAGGCAAAGGTTGCAGTGAGCCAAGATCGCACCATTGCACTTCAGCCTGGGCTACTCAGTGAGACTCCATCTCAAAAAAACAAACAAAAAAAAAAAAAAAGAAAGAAAGAAAACTCAATAGCAAGTTGTAGACAGTTTTTTGTTTGTTTTGTTTTGTTTTGCTATGTTTTGTTTTGTTTTGTTTTGAGACAAGGTCTCGTTCTATAGCCCAGACTGGAGTGCAGTCATGCAATCTCGGCTTACTGTAGCCTCTGCCTCACAGGCTCAAGTGATCCTCCCCCTTCAGCCTCCCAGGGAGCTGGGATTACAGGCACACTCCACCAGGCCCAGCTAATTGTTTGTATTTTTTGTAGAGACGGGGTTTCACCATGTTGCCCAGGATGGTCTCAAACTCCTGGGCTCAAGAGATCCTCTTGCCTCAGCCTCCCGAAGTGCTGGGATTCCAGGTGCGAGCCACCGCGCCTAGCCATGTGGACAGCTTTCCATGGTATGATGTTCTGAGAGGCAAATAATTATAGGCATTTCATCACTAATTGTCCATGTTCCCATCTCGCATATAACAACTCTACCAACAACAACAACAAAAAAGTTTTATGTTCATCGAAGAGAATATATGGAGCTTGATTTTTAACCCAGGGGTTATGGGCCTTTTCAATGTAAAATTATTTCCCAACCGGCCACCTCCGAACTGAGCCTTCTGGGTAGAATTAGTGTGAATTCAGGGTTGCAGATTAGGGACAGGTTGGGAGGTGAGAACAGAAAGGGTGAAGTAAAGTCCATAGGATCTCAGGGCTGGAAGGGACTTGCCAAGTTGTCCAGCCTCTGCTTGCATTCCCTTAGTAACAGGGAGCTCACCACGTTACCAAGACAGCTTGTTAGCCCACTTCATCCTTGGTTAGTTCCACTGGCTTAAAAAGTATTTCCCACGTGGATCTAGATTCCATCTTTCTAAAGGTTCCAACTAAAGGTACCAATTCAAGGTTTCCCTTGGTCACTCTGTAGAGAAGTAGAGCCGGCTCTCCCAGGGCCCATGAGTCCTCTGTTCTCCTGGACAGCATCCCCCTCCCCCTGACTAAACACACCCTCTGAAAACACAGGACTCACCGATGCAAACTCACTCTCATAGTCAGCTCCTAACAGGAACCTCCCTTCACCTCCCAAGAAGCCTTACTCACACATACCAAGCCGCAGTCTGTCGACCGGTTTTCTCAAGGAATGGAGGGATTTCAAGGCTGCCTCTCCCCGTCTGGAAAGAAAAGCCACTTCACACAGTGAGTGGTTCATAATGTAAAGTGTTCATAACTCCCAAGAGATAGTATGGGCAGGAAATAGAAACAGCTTCCAAATATTTGAGACAGATTTATGGACACTGAGTCACAAATGGCTGCCATATACTTCTCCTTTTGAGCTAGTTTGGTGCCAGACTACCTCTCTTCTGATGTTCAAGGACCTGTCTCCAGGTCGCTTCAGTTCCTTGTCTTGACCTCCCGCAATGGGCTTTCTGCTGACCAAGCCCGTTGACTCACAGACATAGCCGACCAAAGCACTCAGCCAGGTGCAGATTTTGGGCATTGAAATGGTGGAGCTCTCTCCACAGCTTGCACTGCTAGTTTTTCTCTTTGTTCCTGATGACGAATTCTCTACTGTTTATACAGTAGCAGAACTCACAGAAGCATAACTTACATTTCACAGCCTCCAGAGTGGACTTTACATAAACACGATGTTTCTGTTAGGCCGGCTTTATCTTCCCCCTAGAATCTGTCGGTGGTGCTTTGGAGTATTCAACTGGGCCACTGTGCAGGGGTAGGGAGTGGTGTCACAAGCCTTCCCTAACCCACCATCTCTGACCTGCACCCCAGGGCATGCACATGAAAGGAATACATCTTCTTGGTTTGGAAAAGAAGGGGATGACATTAGTGGCGAAACCTCTGTGTCGGGGTCTTGCACCGCAACTCTGAGTCATAGCTTACATCCATCAAGCCCTCACTCTGAAGAGGCTCGGGGCTAAACCTTCACAACCATTGTCTCAGTCATGTTACTCACCCTGTGCTACAGAGGAGACAGTGATCTTCACAGAAGTTAGTTCGTGGAGGGCTTTTCCCAGCCCCACCGTTGGGAGAAGAGGGGCAGGGCTGAGCCAAGTCTGACTGGAGTCCTGCTCACCTTCCCCCAGGACTGCACGGGCCACCTCGCCCAGCCCTCATGGCAATGCTGAAGGCAGGTGTGATTCTCACGATTTTATTACCCAGGGGGAAAGGGAGGCACCAGCGGGAAAGGGAGGCTGGGAGCGGCAGTTTAATAACCTGTCCAGACCTCACAGCTAGGAAGTGGCCAAGGCAGGAAGAAGCCCACCAGCCTCTCAACACCAACAGAATTCTTTCCTCAGAAGGAATGAGGGAGGGTAGAGGGGTAAGCACATGGCATTTTTAATCCTCCTGTTGGACTGGGAGCCTCTTAAGGTCAGGGACAGTGTCTGATTCAGCACCCCACCCCTCAACTGGCCCCACTCAGGATGTCACAAGGCCCTGTGTGCTACTGGAGGGGGTCCTGGGGTCGGTGACAGGCAGACCACAGCCTCTGGCCTGGAACGAGCAGAGAGGGGTTGGCAGGCCCATCCAGGCTGGGGGTCTGAGGAACTGTGAACGAGGCTGTGAACAGAGACCGCTGGGGTCCAGCAGACCTGGCCACAGAAGGGAAGCTCTGCACAGTGGAAGGCAGGACCGGGTGGCAGCCCCGGGAGCAGGCCCTGCTGGCCCCTGGGAGGAGCCCTCCATGGGCCTCAGCACGACACTCCTAGGCTGGCAGCTGAGGCCTGGTTCCCGTGATCCCTTGATTTGTCTTTTCTGACCTTTCTTCACAGAGACCCTAGGAAGCCTGGGGACCCAGAGCCTGCCAGGGGAAGTCATACTCTCATGAAAGAGCTAGCCAGCAAGAAACTAGAACCGTGGACATGTAAGATAGGCACACAAGTGGCGAGTCCTAAGACGGAAGCAAGCAGAGGGTGTGACAGAATACTGAGGGGACCAGGGAATGGCTCTTCCAGAGGGGACTTCTCAGTCGGAGACAGGAGCAGGGGAAGGAGCGGCCATGGGAAGCTCTGGCAAGAAGGCATTTTTGGTGGCGAGCAATGCAAGCGCAAAAGCCGTGAGGTGTGAAAAACATTAAAGAATCTGTAGGAGGCCAAGGCGGCCAAGCAAAAGGAGAAAGAGGGACTCCAGCAAGAGATGGGCATTTCTCAGGACTGCAATGGCAGGAGAAAGAGATCCCCCTGAAGGACGTTCTAGATTCAAGCCCCTGCCCTGTGGCGACCTTGCCAAGTGGCTGGGTCAGGATCTTCCCTGTCAGGCCCAGGCCTCGTTTGCATGATGATGGGGGTAGCTTCTCAGGGTCCGGGCTCTCCTTCCCCATGTTCTCCTGTTCCCCCCATTCCCATCACCCAGATTCCGGGAGCCAGGACTGGTGTCTCCCCCACTGGAGGTTCCCAGGAGGTCTCAGGACTCCCACTGCAGTCCCAGGACGCAGGGGCTGGGCGAGAGGAAGGAAATTCTCACACAGCTTTCTCCCAGGGAGTTTGCTCTTGTTCCCAGGCTGACAACTGGCAACCCTCAGAACTCTGTTCCCCACCCCCTTCCTCCTTCTCCTCCTCCTCCTCCTCCTCCACCTCCTCCTCCTCCTCCTCTTTTCCCTGCCTCCCTCTCTCCCCTGCCCCCCTTCTCAGGCTTAATGACTTCCACATGGGCCTCTGGCGGCTGGAGCCAAGCCTCCCAGCATTGTCTGAAATCTCCAAATTTAGAAGAAATATGAAAATTGTCAACCACTCCTTCCTTAGGGGGTAAAAGCAACATTCTGCACCGGGGGCAGGTCAAGGCGAGGTAGTCACGTGGGGGGCGCCTGGGCCAATGGGGGGCCCTGGGAGGGCTCAGCACCCACCTCGCCCCAACGCGGGGCTCGCCTCTTCAGCTCATATAAGGTAAAAGGCAGAGTGGCCTCTGTGGCCAGGGAGCCGCAGGCAAGGGACTAAGGGGGGGGGGGGCTCAGTGCCAGCTGCTTAAAAATGCCCCTGTGGCAGCGAGGGGCACCAGAGGCTGGGTCTAATTAGTTGAGAAGCAGTGACAACCCCAACCACTCACCAAACAGGCTGGTTCCCATCTCCAGGCCCCAAGGAGCCACACCTGGACCAGATCCCAGGAAAGGTAAGCACCAGCAGGAGACCTGGGATTGGTGGATGGGGGCCTCTGGGACATTTCCCCAGCGGGATGCTGCATCTGGGGGTCTTGCTCTCTTGTAAGACTCTGTCCTTTTGGACACAGATTCTCTGGGTCTCAATTTCCCCATCTGCACAGGGGCTGGAGTCAATGATCTCTAAGCATCCATCCAGCTCATCGGCTCTAATTCTGTGGTCCTGTTGGCTTCTAGGATTCCTTGTTGTTGTAGTCAACTGGGGGAAGAAGGGGCAGAGGGAGCGAACAGAGTTAACATCCTATCAGCCCGAGCTTCACCACGGCGCCCGAGTCTGGGGCAGTCTCCCCGGCTTCTACATAGGCAGTGCTTCTTCCTCATTCTATGGGGCTTTGATTTTGCAATTCCGAGAGCCTGGGGGTCCCAGCAAGGAAAACGGTTTTCAAATAATGGTTTTGAGAAACAAAGCTGGGGAAAAGGCAATGTAAGCTCAGGGTCTGGCAGGCAGGCAGAGATCCTGGGAAGGCTGGGTGCTGACTGCACATGGAGCAGTGGGAAGGGATGCTGGCGAGAGAAGACAGGGGCACTTAGGCTCCGGCCCCAGCTCTGCTCTCAGTGCCTGGCTGTGTGGTATTGGGCTGGCCCCTTCCCCTCTCTGGGCCATAGTTTCCCCATCTGTATAGTAAGGCCATTGGACAAAATGATTCCTCTGCAGATGTGGCTTCTGAGTTGTTTGTGCCTGAGGGACAGCCAGTGTTGGGAAGTTCCCCCAGGAGATCCCTGAGCCGAGTCTGCCCTTTGACCACAAGCTTGGAGTCCAAGCAGATGAAGCCCTGTGGGAGCTTTTGGAATTTGAGCCTGAGTGAGGGAGAGTAGCTGAAGGTTCTGTGACTGAAGGCTTGGCCAGAGGGGTGCCCCGAGCCCTCCAGATGAACTTGACTGCAACCAGCCTCTGGTGGGGAAAGGACTGATCTCTGGATTCGACCACACAGGAGTGCAGGACGTGGAAGTAGGAAAGGATGGAGAAGACAGCAGAGGGCTTCAGAGGATGAAGTGGTGGGACCAGGAGATTCAGAGAAACGCAGGAGGCTTGTGATGGGAGGCAGAGCTGGATAGAGGCAGAGGCTTAGGTTTGGAACTTGAAGATGTACAGACGACGTGGAGTCGGGCTCCTCTGAACACACTCTGGCCACGTCCGGAGCCTAGAACAGAACACAGTCCTCTAGCACCGTCCTCTGTCAGGTACCCTCACCTTCCTGCTGCTTGTCACACAAGGCCCAAGGCCAACATGGTTCAGAAGGAGGCTCTGAATTCAACTGCCTGGGTCCAATTATGACTTGTTTACTTAGTGGACAGGTGACTCTGGGCAAGTTGCTTGCTGTGTGAGCCTCAGCTTCCTCCTCTGTAAAATGGGTACAGTTCTGAGATTGCATGGTCATCATGAGGAGTGAAGGATGAAGGCACATAGAGCAGGATGAATGGGGCTGATGTGACATCGCAGTCTGAGCCCACGCCGCCTGCGGGCAAGATACCCTGAGCTATGTTGAGGGACAAGTGGGAATGCAACCCAGCCAGGGAATGCCCAGAGTTGCTGAAGGGCTCTGGAACAGGCTCTGGAAAGAGGCAGGAGGAATTGAAAGTCAGAGGCTGTGGGACACAGGAAGGTGATCAGCTTGAGATGCCTGAAGGACTGGGGGGGTCTCCTCTCCTGCCTTTCTAGGGTGTTGTGTGAGCAATGTATCTGAACCACTGTGCACTCACCTGCTGACAGGGGACCCCGGGCAGGGCCTAGGAATCTGCATTACGAGCTCCCTATGAATTCCCATGCACATGGAAGTTTGGGAAATGCCAGGCTATAGGGCAGCCTAGGACTCTCACAAACAGCCGAGGCCACGGAAGCCACAGAGAGAAAGCATTGCTTTAGGTTCTTTAGCGAGCTGATGGCAGAGCTGGAACAGAACCTGCCTTTCTGCCCAGCCAGGGATTCCATAAGGTGGTGCAAATCAGGAGAAATCGATTACACTATTTGTGGAGTTCTTGTGAGCTCCAGGCATTACCTAAGATCTTCACATGAACTAATTCATTTACTCCTCACAAGAACCACTGAGGAAGGAGCAATTATTATCCCCACTCCACAGATGAGGTACCTGAGGTAAAGAGAGGTTAGGTGGCTTACCTGAGGTCACACAGCTCATGAGTTGTTAAGTCATGTGTGCCAGCTGCCCCTGGGGGTGCTAACTCCCCCAGGAGTCTCCCACCTCCTGCCCTGCCTCTTAGCTACCTCAAAACTTCCTGGGGACCCTCCAGCAGACCTCATGGAAGGGGGCAGAATATGTATGGGAGACTTCTGGGAGTCAGACACTGTGCTAAACAGCTTGCATTACCATTTAATCCGCCCAGGATTCCTGTGAGGCAGAAATCAGCATCGTTCCCTCGCCCTCACTTTCTAGAGAAGGAAGCCACTGCAGCTCACCCAATGTCACGCAACTAAAAAGCAGCCAACGGGATTTGAACCCAGTCTATGCATCTGTAGAGCACACACTCTTGGGCTGCCCACCCCAACACCTCTGACGGCAGTAACGAGGAATCCCACCTCGCAGAGGAGACGGAGGCCAGGAGGGAGGAGGCTCTGCCGGACCTGAGCCTTGTAGCTCTGAGGCCACTGTTCTTCCCTTCAACCCTGCTGCTTCCCACAACAGAAAGTTTATCACTGGTCCCTCCCAGCCCTTTGGGCAAAATCAGCCCCTTCCCAGCCTGGCCATTTCTAGGGGAAAATGACACCCAACACCTATCCTTTTTTTTTTTTCCTTTTCTGAAATGAGGTCTTGCTCTGTAAACCAGGCTGGAGCGCAGTGACACTTCTCAGCTGACTGCAACCTCTGCCTTCCAGGCTCGAGCGATCCTTCCACCTCAGCCTCCCAAGTAGCTGGGATTACAGACGTGTGCCACCACATCTAGCTAATTTTTTGTATTTTTTATAGAGACAGGGTTTCGTCATTTATCCAGGCTGGCCTCAAACTCCTGGGCTCAAGCGATTTCCCCAACCTCAGCCTCCCAAAGTGCTAGGATTACAGGCGTGGGCCACCGCACCCAGCCAACACCTATCCTTGAGGAATAGAAAGATCCAGGCTCCACACCACACACCATCACTGACTCAAGTGGCTGTGTCTGATTCCTGGGTGAGCCTGAGGGTTTCGGAGAGGTGATCTCTGAGGTCCTCACTGCTGGGCTTTTCCTGCAATTTTCCAACTAAACTCTCCCAGGGGCTCAGCACCATGGGGTGGTTCAAAGAACCATGATGAAGGCTGGTTTGAATTGTCGTGATGACCATTTTTGTCCACATCTCTTGGTACCCATAAGCCAGACTTTCTCTGGAGCTTATACCTAGAAGGGGTTCTGGGTCCTGGGGTGCAGGCCTGTCAGCTTTACAGGAGAGCACAGGATTGCTTTCCAAAGTGGCTGAACCAGGTAATGCTCCCATCAGCAGTGTATGAGCGTCCCCATCTCCTTGACCACACTTGAAGTCATCAGATTCCTTGAAGCATATAGGTTGCACACTTCATTTTGCATGTATCAAATTTGTGTAATAAAAAATGTAAGGAAGCCATGGAAATAAAAACATAGGTATGCCTTCTGCAGGCTGCTATGCTCCTGTGCACAAAGGTGTCTAGAACTTTGCCCTCCACGCACAAGTTGCAGAGCACCCTCATCAGGACATTTACGAAGGCCCTGGGGTGGGATGGGAACTGCCTTTGTGGTCCTTCCCCAGCCCAGCAGTATGCAGTGGCCGGGGTCCAATCAAAGGTCACCTGGGAGGGTGAGTTGCAGGAATTTGGGGGAAAGAGCCCAAGGTGGCTGCCGCCTGCTAACAGCTTGTCTAGACAGGTCCCATGGGGCTTCACCGCACATTGCGAGAGCCCTGGCCAGCCCCCTGCCCACTTGCAAAAGAGGCTGTTGGCAACAACACTTCACCACCAGAAACCTTTACTCCAGTTCGAAACACGCCTTAATGCACAGCGTGAATGACCCACTCTCATGGCCTGCAGAGGTCCGCTCATTCAGGCCCCCGTTTGTTCAGATGAGGAAACTGAGGTGGACTCCGAAGCCTGAGGGCTTTCCGATGTGGAGTGAGTCCCTGTGCCCAGGTGATAAGGGGACCAGGCAGGTCTGGAGCAGGGCTGGGTGGGGCTCAGATATAACAGGCTGGCAGTTAGAGGTGCCAGATGTGAGCCAGGCTGCTGGGTTTGAATCCTGCATCTGCCTCACAGCAGCAGTAGGACCTCAGGCAACTTACATAGGTACGCTGTGCCTCAGGGACCTCATCTGTAGTATAGAGATGATTTAAGAGTACCTGTCTCATCGGTCTATTGAGTTGTCTGGATTAACTCACTAAATGAGCTAAAACTCATGAAGCCCTTGGAACAGTGACTGACACATAGTAAGTACTCAATAAAAAATAACTGCTAAGACCAGGCATGGTGGCTCACACCTGTAATCTGAGCATTCTGGGAGGCCAAGGTGGAAGGATCCCTTGAGCCCAGTATTTCGAGACCAGCCTGAAGGTCAACATAGGGAGACTCTGTCTCTACTATAAATGTTTAAATTAAATTTTTATAATAATAACTGCTAAAATATTATTACTAAAGACAGCTTCTTCACAGTACAAAGAGATGCTCTTCTGGGCACCAACTCTTTGGACTTTGGGGGATAAACTGCCCTTATTCCCTCAAAAATATCACCTGCCATCTATCAAGTCCTTTCAAGTACCTGGACCTTTACCCAGCACTCTGAGATAAATACCATTATCCCTCTGGGCACACAAAGGCTCAGAAAGGTTTAATCATTTGCCCAAAGTCACACAGCCTGTACGAGGCCAAGTTGGGACTCAAACTCAGTTCTGACTGATTCTAAAATCATGTGTTTAGCTGCTGCACTCTAGGACCACCCGCAATGGGTCTGTGAACCAGAACTAGCTCTGGTTCTGACCTGCCTAGTAGGGCCTTTGGCATTTGGGGGAGGAGGCCATTGGAAGTCCAAAGCCTCCTTCCAGATTAGGCATGATTGCAGTAAGAGAAGAGACAGACCCTTCAACCCCCGACCGCTGCTCAGGCTCAAAAATGTAGACCCTGGCAAAACAGTCCTTTCCACCCAGAAGCACCCCATAGGGTGGGCTGAGTAACCTTGGGGGCCTCGTCAGTCTTGGGCTGCCCCATGCCCTGCACAGCCCACTTGAGTTCTGAGGAAGGGGCAGTTGGCTAGGTCCAGACTGGAGAAAGCCATCCCACCATGGCTCCTCTGCAAGAACCCCCGGCCAGCCACAAGCCTAAGCCCCCTCCTTAAAGTCTTCTCCTCTGACCTTAGCTGTGCTTCAAGGGAGATAAGAAAGCTGCAGGCCAGGCGCGGTGGCTCACATCTGCAATCCCAGCACTTTGGGAGGCCAAGGCTGGCAGATCATGCGGTCAGGAGTTCAAGACCAGCCTGGCCAGCAAGGCGAAATTCCATCTCTACTAAAATTACAAAAATTAGCTGGGCATGGTGCCGTGTGCCTGTAGTCTCAGCTACTCTGGAGGCTGAGGCAGGAGAATTGTTTGAACCCAGGAGGCAGAGGTTGCAGTGAGCCGAGATCACGCCACTGCACTCCAGCCTGGGTGACAGAGCAAGACTGTCTCAAAAAGAAAAAAAAAAAAAAAAAAGCTCCAAACTGCTCTGCTGCCATATACTCTACTCCTCCACTCCCTCCAGGGAGGCAGGATGGGGGTGGAGTGTCTGGAGGGAGGCTGCCTGCTAGCCTGGGGATGGCATCCACAGAGGCTATGACACCACCCCTGGCTGGGCTGCTGGGCTCAGAGGCCCCCGTTCAGCCTGCCCAGAGCCTGCCAGCCACCAGGCATGTGACTCAACAACCCCAATGAGTCTGACAGCATCTACCCGGATGAACTGAGCAAGGCGGGGTGAAGGAGAAAGAGGCTGGCTAGGACCAGGCCTTGGCTCTGTAGCCAGCACACCTGGGTAAGTGCCCTGCTCCTCTGGGGCCTCAGGCCGTGATGTTCCCTGGTTTGGGACAGAGGGGACAATTGAGGTCATTCCATGTGTGACAGTAGACACCTGGATTCTCAGAGAGGGAACATCTGAGGAGCTGGGGACACGCCCTGGATAGACAGAGAAGAAGACGGCATTCCAGGTGGAGAGCTCTGTGTACAAAGGTATGGAGGCAGGGCTGCAGGGGCATTTTCGGAGAACAGTAGAGAAGCCCGGTTGGCTGGAACCGAGAGTTGGTCTGAAGCTCAGAGAGGTTGGAGAAACAGGAAAGGCCTAGAGTGTGCGGTAGCTTTGGCAACAGAAACCAAAGCCTCAGAGCTTGGGGAAAGTTCTCCTTGGTATCTGTCTGTCCCTGGGAGGGAGTGCCTTTCTTTAGCCTATTTGTCCCTCTCCCCAAAATACCATCAGCCAAGAACCCCAGTGCAGGGCAGAGACCTAGGAATTTGGATAACAGGCAACTCTGAGATGTCAGGCAATGGGGAAAGGAGAGCTCAGGTGGGACTAGGAGGGGTAGGAAGCCCAAGGGCTGCAGTCACCATCTTCAAACCACTCCAGAGCTTCCTGGGGAGCAGGG